TCGACAACAGACAATGTATGCAAAAATACACATAAATGTCTGTAATGTCCTTGTCTACATGAAATCCGATGCTCCAGTCGAAAAGGTAGTGCAAATTAAGGAAACGTCGCGTCCATTGCCGCGCGCGACGAAACGGCAACTTACGATTCTCTTGCCCGTCTCCCCCAATTTTGGAAATACTCGCCATTAAGTGGTGCCATTCGCTACTGAATCACCTCCTCTCCTTGTCAAACTATTTAAGAGGTTCACTTCAGAAATGTCACATTGCACGAGTAGCAGTGCCCCGAGGAAGGAGCTGTGATCCCTCATTCATTCATGAAAATAAAGGCGCCCACACCGTCGTGCCATCTTGTGCTCTCCGCCGATTGCCTATCCATTTCTTGCGAAATTAAAATTGCGGCAGCCATTTCTTCGAATGAAACCTTTCATGTGGGATTGACTCGCCCATGTGATGCGATATTGTGCCATCGGTCACGGTTTCATCGGCTTAAGCGATTTTTGTGAAATTTACCATTACAGAGAATAGGATTTCAAAGTGCGACCAGGCATACCCCCCGAAATCAACCAGCGGCACATGGGCGAACAGCGATTAATCAAAATTTTAATTTCCGTGATGAAATATCAAATAGCAATAAATCGTTAAACTGCCTCCATCACTTTCTCGAGACTGGATTCTCTCAATTTCGCATTCGAACTTGTTGGGCTCCCTTGGTAGAAAAATAGCCGAGGAGATGACTACTCTTAGCACGAGTAGGAAACAAAGTGTCTTTTGGTCCAGTCAATCCTTTGCTTTCAACGAAATATGGACTAAATATGGAACGATACCGGACTCATTGTAAGTTTAGAGGAAAAACTCCGGCGCGTACATCTTTTGTCCTTCAGTAATTGTATAAGCGATGTAAGAGCTCATGAGAGGGGGGGGGGAGGGGTGATATAATGGATTGTGACGCTGCTCACCACTTATCCGGTCAAATATAAGAAGACGTGCCCTAAGCCTGCCGTGATTCAGTTCATAGACAAGGCATCAGTTGACGGTGCCATCTGATGTGAGAAGGGAGTCGCTCTTGGCGCAGCCTTAGCCCCTTTCTCGTCACTCATTAGACGCCAGAAGCCAGAACGATCGACGCAAAACGGGCTGCGACGCTCAAGCCCGCGCTCCTCGGACACGCCCTAACCTACATCTGATAGCGATTCCGCATCGGCTGGCTCCTATTTACTTTAACACGTTCCGGACCGCGTGACACACATGGTGTGTCATGAATTTGCCTCTATGCTGTCTTTTATTTGATTATTTTGAATATTCTTTCATGTTCTGTTCTTGTGAAAACACGTCTTCGGTTATCAACATATCCTCCCTCATGAGCGTTTGAAAATAGGGAGGAAATTACTGATCAATTTTTTATGAAAAATGATGAAATGATTAGGACGTGCGCGCAGTACGGCGGTCCGCAATGTGTTAAGGACCATATCCCACTCATAATGCTACAACCATACGATTTAATGGAAGTAAAATAGATCTGGCCCCTTAAAATGGACCTGGACGAAAGCCAGAAGCTTTAATCTTCTCAATCCTTATTCGGAATGGAGGTCAGATAAATGTTCCCAGGCAGCAGATCAGATTCATGGCGCATCCAAACATTGATCAGGGAAGATAAAAACGGAATTTACAAAATAGAAATTGATTTATATGCATATAAAGCACCAAAGACCTATCCATCCGAAAGGATGGGTGCAGTTGGACGACGGATGGGCCATTTTAGCGTTCGCTACTTCCCATCCACGTGTAGACCTATCTAGGCAGCCTCTTCTCGAGTGACAGATTTTACCGGGTGTGTGGTTGATTCTATCGTGGGGTCGTCGCGCCGGTGGGCGGAGCGAGGCGGCGTGGCGGCCGCCGCGTACGAGTTTTGTTGCGTGGCGTTCAAATTGTTAAGGGATCCCTTTAACAATTTGAAAGAGGCACAGCTTGCTGTGGCCGTTGCTCCAATGACAACTCGGGAGTACGGTAATGCAACTCCGGGATTGCCGCGTCGCGGCGTGCCGCG